ATACCAAAATAAATTACAGATAGTATAAAGATTAAAATGCAAATGAAACCATGTAATACTAGAAAAAATCTTGGGTAGATTTTGTAATATTTTTGAACAAGATAAGTATTTTCTAAACATGACACGCAACACAGAAATTATAGAGAAAAGACTGATAAATTTGACTACATGAAAATTAAAAGCTCTATATGACTACACACACACACAGACACGAAGCATCTAGTTTCATTCCATTGCAGAAAACACATACACACGAAGCATCTTCAAAAATTTCGTGGAAATATTCATTTTATTTTTTAATTCTATTTTTCCATGAACTTTTTGAAGTGCCCTCATGTGTGGGTTTGGGTATACACACACACACACACACACATATGTACATATGTACACACAAACGCACATACATATATGTAGAGGTATATATCAAAGCTAAAAGGAAAAACTGGGGAAAATATTCACAGTCTATGTAAAAGGTAAAACACAACTCAACAGAAAAAAAATGGGTTAAGATGTGAGATAGAAATGATGAATAAGCTTAAAAAGATGCTCAACCTCACAAAGTTTAAAAATACAAACTAAAACAAGGGACAATTTTTTACCTTCAGTGTGCTCAAGACTGCAAGGATAGAGCTGGCTGGCTGATCAGCTCACATGGTTAGAGTGCAGTGTTATATCACCAAGGTCATGGGTTTGGATCCCCGTACTGGCCAGCTGTCAAAAAAAATAAAATAAAATAAAAATTTTAAGAAATACTGCAAAGATACAGATCAAGAACATCTAGTTCCAAGAGTCATCTTGCAGTATCTTTTAGACCAATATTGTGATAGGACACAGTGGTAGAATCACAGGAATCACTCCAGCTGCTATATGTAGACTTAACTGGGGCAAAAACTGGGAGACTGTTGCAATAATTTGGTGAAAGATGATGGTGGCTTGGACCTGGGTGCTAGGAGTGGAGGTGATGAGGAGGGGTCAAATTTGGTCCTATTTTGAAAGAAGAGCCCACAAGGTTTGTTGGTATATTCGATGTAAGATGTGAGAGAGAGGAGTCAAGGATAACTCCAAGATTTTGGTCCCAAACAATAGGAAGATGCCATTTGCTGAGATGGTGAAGAGAGGGAAAGGAGAACATTTCAAGGGGAGAAATAAAAAATCCCGGGGTGCTTGTTATAGATTCCAACAGAGACATTAAGCAGTTAATTGAATATGAGAGTATAGAATTCAAGAGAGAAACTGGGATAAGAGCTATACATTTGGTATGTTGTATTTTCATTTTCATTTGCCTCAAAGTACTTCCTAATTTCATTATGATTCAGTTAATTGAATATGAGAGTATAGAATTCAAGAGAGAAACTGGGATAAGAGGTATATATTTGGTATGTTGTATTTTCATTTTCATTTGCCTCAAAGTACTTCCTAATTTCATTATGATTTCTTCTTTGACCCATTGGTTGTGTAAGAGTGTGTTGTTTAGTTTACGTATTTGTGAATTTTATAGTTTTGCTTCTCTTATTGATTTCTAGTTTCATTCCATTGCAGACAAGATACTTTGTATGATTTCAGTCTTTTTAAGTTTACTGAGACTTATTTTGTGGCCTCACATATGGTTTATCCTGGAGAATGTTCTATGTGCGCTTGAGAAGAATGTGTTCTGCTGTTGTTGGATGGCATGCTCTATCTATGTCTGTTAGGTCTAGTTGGTTTATAGTGTTGTTCAAGTCCCCTATTTATGTATTGACTTTCTGTTTGGAGGTTCTATCCAATATTGAAAGTGGAATATTGAAGTTTTCCAACCATTATTGTAGAGCTGTCTCTTTTTCCCTTCAATTCTGTCAAGGTTTGCTTCACAGATTGGAGGGGGGCTCTGTTGTTTGGTTCACATATATTTATAATGGTCATATCTTCTTGATGAACTGACAGGACTATATATTTGGGAGTTGTATTAGTCTGTTTCTGTTGCTTATAACAAAACACCTGGAACTGGGTGACTTATAAGAAAATGAAATTTATTGCTTACAGTTTTGGAGGCTGTGAAGTCCACAGGACAGGGAACATATCTGGTGAGGGACTTGGTGGTGGTGACAGTCACCCAGGGGTCTCACATGGCAGAAATGGCAGAGCAGAGAGAGACTAACCTCTTGTGTGCTCTTCTTTTAAAGCCCTCAGAACCACGTCCCTGACCTCCATTATTAATCCATTCACTATGGCATGCTCCTGTAATCTAATCACCTCTTCATAGCCCCACCGTTGAAT